ATATATATCATATTCATAGAAATTAATTCATAGAAATGAATTCAAAATTTTTAAGTCTAATTTTAATTTATAATCTCTTGCAATTCAAAAATTTTATTTGTGCAAATACTAATTAAATATATTAAATTTTATAAGAAATTATTCATTTGAAATAAAAAATTAATTTTCCTTAAAAATGACATAAATTATAAATTAAAAATAAAAAAATAAATTTTTTAAATTAAAACTTAATAAAATTATGTTCTATTTATTTGACATACAATATATTTAACATTTATGAAAAGAAATTAATTTATTTTACAAATTTGTAATTTATGGAGCTAGTTTATTGTATACACATAACAATATAATATATTATTTATTTTTTCTCTGAAATTGTAAGACAAAATATTTTATTAAAGATTCATGAAATCCTATATCTCTTAATGGGATCCAATAACTTGAAACTGTGAGTTTAAGATACAATTATAATTTATAAATTTACATTTACAAGGCTTATACTATAATTTTAATATTAAAATAAACTTACAAAATAATGCTATTTCAAATTTTAAATGGGTTGCAATAAACCCCAACACCGCCAATCATATAACAAAACTTAAAATGTAAAATAAAATGAAATTTCAAAATAAAATTAAAAATTTATGTAGCATTATACAGCAAATGAATTATCTGTCAAGAATTTCACAAATAATCATTCTTCTTGACAGTTAGAAAATTAAAAAAAATAATTGATAGATAAAGCGAGTAAATTAATAATATTACATACATGCTATTAAAAAATTTAAGTGAGCCATATGCGTAATTACAAGGCGAGTTTTTTATCATATTAATTTCTAGATAATTAATTAATTTATACTTAATATCTAACTTGTTATTGTTATTGGGAAAATAAGTCAATTTAATGAAAGGTACAGCAATAAATTACTTAAGTGAATAAATATATATCAAAATATATAGTCAATATGAAACAGGTCCATTCATACTGCAATAGATAGAATTTCCTTCGTTGGACACATATAACTTTGGCTCTTTTTGCTTGCCAGGATAATAAAAAATATCAAATATGTAAATGTGATATCAATCAAGACGAAGATAAATGGAGCATTATATTTGGATCTTCTAATGCTGATAATGGTAATTCACTTTTCTCTTCTTCAATACGGGTATCTGAGATTTTTAGGAACTTAATCACCTTTTCTGTAGCAGCAATTCCACAACTGCTTACTTCATTCTAAAATAAATTATTTATATTTTCAAAGTTTCTGATGATTTTTTGTATGAATAAAAATTAAAAATAATTACCGATGCCGTTAAATTCATGAAATTGAAAAATTTTTGAAGTACAGATACCATAGTTGTAAAATTATTATCGGGAAGTCTGCTGCGTACCAGCAATTCATAATCCTATAATTAAAATTATGTTATTTTCTTTTATACTATTTTATAATATATTCTTTTTATATTATTTATATTTTTAATATCAAATTTTTAAATTTATTACCTTGTTATCCATTATTAAGTAACCAAGTAAAAGCACTACATATGCTCCTATTAAAGTGTGTTCCATATGACGTCCAGCTTTTTGTAATACTATAAAAAAATTTTTTAAATTATATTTTATGAAGTTTATTTTAAGAGTTAGATAAACCAGAAATTATACAAACATTTTGTAACAGTTTCTTCAATAAATTCTTCTTGAGATTTAGTCGTTGTTGATACAGTTTCGGTTTGTTCAGAATCTTTTTTACCATCTAAAATAGCATCAGTTTTTTGTTCTTCGGCACGAGCTAATTCTTCTTGTTTATAAAATAGATCGATTAAACATTCTACTCCACTTTCCTCTGCTTTTTTATATAGAAATAAAATTGATATATTGAATTTATATTAATATATTAAAGATATAACGTATTAAGTAATAATAAGATATATTAAGTTTATAAGAAAATAAAATAATTTGTAAAGTATTTACCATCAAAAATATTTTCTATTGATGAAGGAGCTTTTGATTCGATAAGAAGTTGTTTATTATCATCACATTGTTCCACTAAATTTATCAATAAAATCAAAGCTAACATCATCATATCAAAACGTTTTTCTTCAGGAAGTGATTCGGGTACGCGCAATAAAAGATATAGACTGCAATCTAAAACACCTGGTTGTGAACCTAATGATTTACTTCCAAAAGCTGAAATAATTGTAAAATATCGTATTATATTTTTTAAAAATAAATTGTTAATATTTTTTAAAAAGCAAAACATAATAAAATCCTACATTGTCTGTTAAATCGATGTGTAAGATTAATAAGAACTTTAATAATAGCAAACAAACATTCTCTAATAACAGCACCAGTGGAAGTTTTATCACTTGGATCTATAGTAGGATAAATAGGAATTTCTTGTCCACAGAGATGATATAAATTTGCTAAAGTGCTGACTAAAATTCCATTTTCATATTTTAATAAATATACTTGATTTTCTTCATTCATATGAGTAACCTGAAACATTTTTTATTGATAAAAGAAAATTATTATTGTGATTTTTACACATGTAAATATATTTGATGTAAAAATATATAAAAATATTATATTGTTTTTATTTGAGAATATATATCTTACATTTTCTAATACACGTAAACATCTATCAACTTTACGTAATTTATCTAATAATGGATCTGTCCAATCAGATTTTGTAATATTTTGTGTATTAATATGGCGATGACAATCTCTGATTGTTTTTACAATATGTTCTAAACCACCCAATTCTCTAAGTTCTTCCTTAAACCATTCACCAGCACGTTTTGATGTAAGACTAAGAAGTGTCTCCATAGCAAGTTGACCAACCTAATTCAAAATAAATTTCTATTTAATTAATTTTTTATATTTTATTTTTTATTTTCTGATTATGAATAAAAATAATACGTACAGTTATATTATCGAGATTTAAATGTTTTGCATGTCCTTGAGCTTGAATATCAGCGCATAACTGGCGTACTTTTTCTTTATTTTTTAACAATTCTGCTCGACTAAGGCCACAATCATCAAGTGCATCCTTGTGACTGGCATCAGATTCTAACAAACTTAACATTAGTTCTAAACAATCACGATCTAAATCCATAGCTAAACGATCTTGACTTAATACAAACATTACTGTTGCTGTACATAGAGCAAGACTCTACAAAATACATAATTTTGTTTAAATAATAATTTTTATTTATTAATAAAATTGATAAATACATAATATATATATTTTTTAATTATACTATATAAAAATAAAATTGTATACCTGATCTTTTGTAGCATCATGAAGAGCTTTAAAGAACTTAGCAACAGTTCCATGAGCACGTACATGCATACGAAATGCAGGTGCCATACATTTGCTTGCCAATCTTATAGCTGAAAGGCAACGAGTAGCATTTGGATTGTTTTCTCTTAAAGTATCTAATATATATTCAACATCATCATTAAACTCTTGAAATTCTCCACTTTCTTGAATTTGATGAGCTTTTTTCACATTTTTTACTACTGTGTAGAACTAAAAAAATAAATATTATTTAATATTAAATATTTAATAATATATAAATTATATAATATACATACCCCCTTTATCTTCCTACCACAACGAACACTTGTTATAGCATCAGATTCATCTTCAAAACCTGTATCAGTTTCAGGATATGTTACAACTCTTGTTAGTTGTGAAGGATCAAATTCTTCTTCATATGCTACAGGGCCTGTTCCACTATGAGATCCTGAAGCAATAATAGGTGTACTATTTCCAACATTAGAAGTATCTGTAGTACTAGATTCTTTATCACTATCACACCATTTATGTTTGTACAGTGCTCTTCTTTTATTTCCATTTGTTGCACCTGTAGAGCGACTTTTAAAAATACTTCCCTTTTTAGTAGCAGGTTTCTGAATAGTTGTACATGGAGTACTTAATGGCTGTGATTCTGTAACTGTACTTGTTACATGTAATGCTATATCATTTTCTGCATTACCATTCACACCTTCACTATCATCACTTCCAGAAAACCAATCTTGGTCAACTAAAGTTTTAGCTGTAGCTGTGTCATTATCAGTAATACGAGTACTTTGTTCTGTTTCTACTTCAGTGTCAGGTTCTGGTTCTGGATCTGGTTCAGTTTCTGGTTCTGGTTCTGGCTCTATTCCTAACTCCAGTGTTGATTCTGATTCTGATTTTAATTCTGATACTGATTCTAATTCTGGTTTTGATTCATGTTGTGAAGAAGATTCAGAAATTACTTCATTTGTTGGAATATCTATAGAACAATGTTGAACGTCATCTGGAACAGTTTCTGTATTTTCTTCAGTCTCTGAAGTATTTATTATCATTGGTCTTGTTTGCATAGGATCAGAATCACTTGATAATATATCGATTAATTCTTGAGTTGTAGTTGGCAGTGGCTGATCACGCCCAATTAATGGTTCAATTGCTGGTTTACAAGAATATGTAGAACCACAATCAGTCTTAACAATATCATAATGAGATATTAATGTATTATTGGAATCGGTAACAGATTTCCTAAGAGTTAAAGAAAGACCAGAACTATGTGAATTAGATGTTGCTGTAGATACAATAGAAGATGATGTAGTTAAATCTAATTGTAAATTTTTTGCCCGACTACGGGTAGTTCTACGCATTTCTGAATTTTCTAATGGTATTGATACAGTGGAGATAATAGGTTCTTGAGAACGAACTGTCTTATGATCAGATTTTAATGTATCTACATTAAAATTTTTGCGTTCCATATCTACTTTTGTAGGACTAATGAGAGGTGTAGAAATTCTATAAGTTTCAGGTTCTGGTTGTTGAGTGTTTTGTACATTTCCACAGACTAGTTGTGCTGTACCCTTGCATATTCTCAATACAATAGGAGGTTTTCCTTCTTCTCTAATAGGAGGATCATTATTAATTCCTTCTAAAGTATCTGCTACTTTTTTAGTTGGAGCATTTGATATTTTTGTTAAAGATTGTTTCGGTTGTGGTGGTGGTGGTTGTGGAGAAGTTTTTTGAGCACGAGCTCTACCATAATGCGAATCAGGTACTTGTCTGTATATTGCCACATCCTGGCGAGATTCTTCTATTGAAGATGGAACATTTCTACTCTTAAAAAACTTTTTAGGTTTAACAATTGGTGGTGCAACATCTGGTTTATTGTCAGGATCAGTTTCAAAAGAAAATGGATCTTTCCCAGAATTTACACGAGCATTCTGATTTCCATAATCAAGTTTTACTCTTTTTGCACCAAATGTATTATGGATATCATCTCTCCTTCCTATAAATAAAATAATATTAGTATAATTTTTTGAAAAATCTTAATTATTTACAAAATTATTATTTATATGTTATAATAACAATAAAAGCAAAATATATATTAATATATCTTTTAAATTAATTTCAATCAAAACAAAATATTTTAAATATATAGAATATAAGATAAAATCTTTCTAACAATTTTATTATTAAATATTAAGTACTAAACATGCTAATAATTTATTAATTAAGTAAATATTTATCATAAATATAAAATATAAAATAAGATAAAAAAAATACATACCATTGATATTCGTACTTCTGATAGATGTAAAAGATGTTATACCCCATTTTCCAACAGTACCTGCTGATTTAGCAGCAGAAGGTCGATTGCTATTTTCTCTAAAAAGCTTATCAAATTGAATACTCCCAGGTGTCACACTACTGACCTTACGACTGTAAGATTTTGTGTAACTACGGGACGTCATACTGTATTCTTCAATATTTCAAAAATGTTCCACATCTCAAAAGACACAAGTGATATTTTTCTTCATTTTTTAAACTTAAATATAGGAAATAAGCATTGATTGTTTGTACACTTACGAAGAAGTGTTATGAGGAAAAAACCTCAGTTCATCGGTCGCGTATTATCCGCGTTGATAATTAAGAACTTAAAAGAAAAAATCAAGAAGCAATATCTTCGAAACATATGAAAGAAACAAACGCCATGTTTCATTCGCTATTTACCTCGATGCACAAATATACGAAACTGTAACTTTAAATTCGATTTATATTCAGAAACATTATTTTTAAATTAATTATTTTCAATTCTATATTTGCACTTAACTTTAATTAATATAATTTTTATATGTCTATACAAATTCAACTGGAAATATTAGTCATAACATGATCTTGAGCCATCTGTCGATGTTTTTCGTTTCAAGATTTAGATACATACCATACACAAAAAAACGAGTAATACAATACACAAGATCGTAATACTTGTCGTTCTATCCAGTAGGTAGAGCTAAAAAGTTGTCTTCTACTTTTCATCTACTTTATCGATAGAAAATCATCCAATCAAAATATGTAATGAATTAAATTATTTTTCATTCGATTTTTTTTAAAAAAAACTTAGGAATCTTTAATTACTTTTTAATTATAAAAATTTAAAAAAATTTAATTATATACATATTTATACAACATATATTCAAACGTGTAAATACACATATATTTTATATATTTATTGATATATTTCTTTTTCATATTTTATTTAATTTGTTTTATTTGAAGAAATTTTATATGAAAATTATATATGTATATATTATATATCATTATATGTATATATTATATGTACATATTAATATAATTATATATATATATAATTATATTATAGTTATATATATATATATAAAATTAATGTATAATAAAAATTATTTTTATAAAATAAATATATATTTTATTTGTAATTCATAATTACGAATTTATTTATTTTTTAGTTAGAAATATTTTTTATTTTATAAATTTTTTAATAATCAAATTATATGGGGACATTTTTTTAGACAAAGAAAACGCTATATATAATAGAATTACAGAACAGCCAATAAAAACTGCATTTAGAATCTATTACATAGTAGTGATAACAGTATCAACCTGTCAAGTAGCATTTGTAACTGTCAACAGATTTTATTTTACAGATATTTATATATATTTTATAATGTTTGTTAATTTAAAAATTATATGTAATTCTTCATATAATCGTATTAGTTTTATATGTACGACATAAACTTAAAAATTTTTTAAAATTAAAAGATTGTAAGAATATATACAAATTTTACTTTCTTTTTTCTAATTCTTAAAAGACATCAAAGTATAAAATAATCTATGAATTTAGGCGTGTTTAACAGAGTTAATCTTAAGGTAATAATAACATTTTTTTTATATTATTATATAATATTTTAATTATTTATTTATTATATATTTTAATTATTTATTTACTATAATATTTAATTATAATATATCTATTTAGGATACCCAAGGCGGAATGTATTCCGAATGGGCTTCTCTAAGTGTTTTAATTCAACAAGGCTCAGAAGAAAGTCAAAGTGTTTTAGAAAAATTTTCTCCTGGAGCTGGAAAAGAAGTTGCTTTATCTATTGTACGTCAATTGGCTGCAAATCTTGGTATTACACAAGCAGCTGAACCTAGTCCATTATGTACAGATAAAGAAGTTCAATGGTGTATGGAAGTAATATGTTTTGGATTATCATTACCTTTGGCTGAACATGATACTGTTCGAGATTGTGTTAATGTATATTGTGAATGGTTATCTGCATTATATTCCACACCAAAGATTTGTGTACCTAGACCAATTATAGATGATCCTAATTTCTATGCCAGAAAAATAATCAGTCATTTTCATAATTTGTTTGTTCCACGAAAAGGAGAAGGTAAAATAAATTATTTTAAATTATATTTTTTATCTTATTTTATTTTCATTGTATCATATATAATATGAAAAATTATAATTTCAAGAAAATTTTATTGAGAAATTGGAACTTAAATGTTGGATATATTTTTATCTAACAATTTTTTTGTTATCTTTTTCTTTGTAGTCTGGCCATTTTTATATCAGGATTTAGGTAATTTATAACTAAAATAATTATATTATTCGGTACAAAACAAGTTTATATTTTAATAACAACAATAAATATGTAATTTTTATAAAACATTAAATATTGTTTACAGGAACAGATACAATTAATCGGCAAGCTGTTTTATGTCATAGAGTACTTAGAACATTACAACAAATTGCAAGAGGACCTGCTACTTTAGAAAGAGAAACTTGGGAAAGCTTATTATTATTTCTTATTGGTATTAATGATGCACTTTTAGCTCCTCCAGCAACAAGAGAAGATGCTGGAGAGCAATTATGTGAAAGAGTTTTAGGTGTATTACTAGAGGTATTATATTTCTATAAAGAAAATATTAATATAATAAGAATTAGTAATTAATAAATATAAAAATATTTTTAGGTATGGTTAGTGGCATGTGAACGAAATTTTCCATCACCACCATTATGGCGTACATTAAGAGAATCATGTCTTCGTTGGCGACATAGATTAGCATTAGTAGAACAATGGAATCGTGTTTGTCTTGCTCTTACAGCAAGACTCTTACAAATTATGTATGGTCCAATGTTTCCAGAACTAAAAATAAGTTAGTTATTTTGATTTATTATAATTATTAATATATATATTTATTAATATTTATAAGATATCTTTTAAAAAGCACTTGCTTTATCTAAATCATTGATATAAATTATTGTATAACTTTATTTAGATGATTTTTTGAAAATTTTATCAATTTTTATGATTGTATTAGAAAAAAATAAGATAAAATTGAAAAATAATCAATTAAACTTGCATCTCCTTTCAAAATTTATTCTTATCAATATTACATAATTATATTGTTTTTCATAAAAGTAATTTATATTATTATATTATATATTTAATATATTTAGATGAAGAAGATTCACAACTTGTACCATCTACAATGTCAGATGAAGCAGTAGCCCAAGCCTGGTATAGACTTTTGCGAACTATAGGGGATCCTGTTGATTTATGCAGACCTGCTGTTATTTCACAAACACAAGCATTTTTACAATATGCTATTGCTAGTCCAAATGTAATAGATCCATGTCAACATCCATGTTTACAGAGTTTACCACAAATATTTTTGAAAGCCATTAAAGGTATAGCTGGACAAGTTGATGCTTTTCTTGGTAAGTTTTTTTCTTTGTATATTTATACAATTAAATTGTATAAAATTTTCAAATATAATTGAAATCACATTCTTGGGATCATATATATATGTAAATTATAAATACTACAAAAATACTAAAAAAATTAAAATGATCTCCTTCAATACTTTTCCTATTTACTTTGAAATACCTATAATAGGATATGGAGTTTCCAACTTGCTTTGTTGGTGATGGTTGCACGCAGTCACAAATGTTTTAGGAGTTTCACAGGCATGTTGCTGGGAAGAATGTTGTGTATCTACCATCACATGTGGATCTGCTAGTGCTGGAAGTGGAGGTGTAGGGTGGGATAAATCAAGTAGTAAGGATATGACACAACCTTCTCCTACACCTCCAACACAACGCAGACTTGCCAAAAGTTTCAGTGTAACACCTTCTGCAGTGACTAAGGGTATTGAGCACTTTATCTTCTGGTGTTTTGCAATTATATTTTATCTATAAAATTGTATATATTTTTATTAAATAATGCTTTTTATAAATATCTTTTTTCTTTCTTATTTAAAAAAATATTATATTTTAATAAGTTAAAAATATTGAAATTATATATTAAATTATCAATTATATTTTATATAATTATTTTTATTATAGGAATTCCAAAAGCTTCCTTGATTGGTTTAACAACGAGTCGAGTTTCAAGTACACCACCTATATTGATGTCTAATTCAGGACCATCTTCAGCTTCAAGTACAACATGTAAGAATTTATAAATTATCTCAATAATATAATTTTATTCAATATATTATATTTAAAGCTTTATAGTTATTTAATTTATGCTATATTATTTATGCTATAAACTTCATAATTATTTTATAATTACATTTATAGCTATGACTTCATTAGTCCAAGATATAAGACCCCCTTTAGCTCCAGGACGTCCAAAATGTAATAGTATATTACATCTTTTTGGTGAATGGTTATTTGAAGCTGCATTTATAGGCACAGATGGATGGACACAAAATTTACCACGTAAGCATTATGTTAAATACATAATATTACATATAATATTAAATTTGATTAAACAATATAAAAATTAATCTTCTTAATAAACAGAACCATCAGGTGCATCAAAACGTCCATCTTCTGTACTTGTTGAAGGCCCTAGTTCTTTACAAGAAGCTATTAATGATGTTCCACCAGCTCTTTGTATAGATCGTTATGAATCTGGTAGAGCTGAAGCTTTAGGTGCATTATGTCGAATATTTTGTGCTAAAAAAACTGGAGAAGAAATTTTACCCATTTATTTATCCAGATTTTATCAAGCAATGAATCATGGTCTTAAAGTTGATGAAGTAAAGTTGATGAACTTGACATTATGAAAGAATGTAATATATTTGTAAGAATATATATGATATATATATAAATTTTAATTACAGTCTCGAGAGTGTGGAGAAACATTAGCAAGTATTCTTTTGAATTCTGCTGACTTATTTCGTCTAGATTTAAATGGCGTACAAGTGTTAGTACCTGCAGTAATATCAGCATTAGAAACTGTACTTCCAGAAAAAGATTTAAAACTTAAATCTAATGTTCTATCAAAATCAGATTTACGAAGGGCCTCAATACATCTACTAATATCAATACTAGTATTACCTTTACACTTCCAAGTAATTATATATATAATTAATATTTAAATATTTGTTTATATTTAAATATTGTATATATTTAAATATTTGTTATAATTTTATAATAATATTAAATAGTTTTTCAATAATTTCTATTTTATAGAATCTTACTATTAAAGAACTTCCAACATTTGTAAGTCCAATGATTAATGAAAAAAATCATGTAACATTTGCGCAATTAAAATCAAAACTTATGAATTTGCTTATAAATGCACTACAAGTTGAAACTGATTCTCAGAATACACATATGTTATTAGGTAAGTTGTATTTAATATAATACTATTATTTTTCTTTTAACATATATACAAATTATTCTTTTTTCTTAAGGTGCTCTTTTATTAAGTGTACAAGATTCTGCAGCAGCAGAAGAAGTTGAACAAGTTACACAACCTGATACTATAGCACATGATCCTACTGTAAATTTATTATCATCAGGTTTGTTATTCAACTATTAAATTACATTTATAAATATTGAATGCACTGTTTTATATTTTTTAAAAAATTATCCTTATATTGAAATTTAAAAA